AGAGCAGCCAGCAGCGCGGGGCAGTTGTTGTGAGCCATATGACGCAGGCAGAGACGTCTGCTCAACTAGTCGTCCAAGGTGTGCGAGCAGGAGGAGGTTGAAGAGGAATCGAAGTCCAGTTTTTTTTTTAGCGTGAGAAATTGGATGTGTGGCGGGAGTGCATTACTAAAGATCGAAATGAGTGACTGTCACGCTCAATGCGGGACTGTTACGCTCAATGCGTGACACGTGAGAGCCCCGAAAGTGTGTCATAGTCGAAATATGCAAAGTCGACGTAACATGGCATGGGAGCACCACGTTGTCCCGTTTTGAAGTGAGGAATGTAAGGAGCCTCCAGCAGGTCTGCTGCTGCCGTTTACTCGTCATCCAGCTGATCAAGCTAGCGTTAGCTCGCTAATAACAGCAGTAAAGCAGTTAGCAAGACGAAGACCCTTTTTTTTTTACTCACCTCTTTTGGACCATTAATTTTTCAATCGGTTTGTCTTCTTGTATTTCGTGCTTTTCGTGCTTCCCATTTTGGTTATTGTTGACAAATAGATTTGTATGTGTTGTACTTTTTAATGCTGTCATATACAGCAGTCCAGTGTAGGCCTGTCGCAATATGCGATAAAATGACATATCGCACACTCTGAAATCGCATGCAATAATTTTTGGTGGTGCGATATTCATTTTACAAATAAATAAACGTCACCAACATTTAAGTTGATCCTCTGTCCCTTTTCCTTGTGGACAGCAGGGGCGGGGCTTATGCAGCGCGCACACAGACACAGAGCGGACACCAACAGGTGAAGAGAAGCAGTGAACACAGCTAAGCTAAAATCTCACCGGTCGAAGCCCCGCATTAAACCTCCCCGGCTTTCCGCTGGACACATTTTCTCGAACCTGACCGCATCGCACCAAGCCCGATGCACCGCTTTGTGTCCCTTGCACTTATTATTTTTTTGTTTTATTCATATAGGATATATTCTTTCACATTCAGATTCTAAATGTTTAACTATTCTGACAAATAAAACATTCTTTGTTCTTTGAAATAGCGTACTTTTATTACTATGCTAGTAAATTGTCATTATGTTAGCAGTGGCATAAAATGGTCTGAAAATTGCAATAATATCGCATTATCGCAATAAATGTTGGTGCAATAATCGCACAACAAAGATTTCATATTGTGACAGCCCTATGAAGCAGCAATGCAATATTACAGTTACTGGAAGAAATCAAAGATGATTTTGCATCTCCAACTCAGAACTTCACATTCCATTCCAGCACTTGTTTAACTATTGGAATCAGGATCATTTCCAACAGCAGTGGGAATATCACAGTCCGCACTCAGCCGCATCACAGCACAAGTACTAAACAGGTTTTGTAAATACAAAGTAACCTGAAGTATCACAGTGGGTTGGCCATGGCGTTGATAACTCTACGTTTGCAAACCCAAGGGCCTCAGTGTGTAGACACAGCAGATTTAACCACCGGGTGCATCCGATCCCAAAAACCAGTGCAGGAGTCAAAAGTTCACCATGTTTATACAGTGTTGTGAAAACCATATGAACCCTTGGGGGCCTCACACAAACTACAGCCAGCAGGGAAGGAACAGAGAAAGAGAGAAAGGAACAAATATGTGCGTGTTCATTGGTTGAGGGCTTATCAGAGACACCATATTGAGAGCAGGACGATCAGTCAGCAGGAAGGGGGACACGTCAGCCTGGTTAACAACATCCAATAACTGTATTGTTCAATATGTTTTCAGTTTTGCTCTGGAATGTATCCGGGAGATGAGGAAAGAGTTCATGAAGGCTTCCTCCATTGGCAGGCACAGGATGAGAAAGTTGTATAGCACACTTTATACTGATAGAACTAAAGTAATAATCGCACATGAGACCGTGATGGAAATAACATGCATTCTTTAATGAACAGGACAAGAATAGCCAGCATTCCATGCAGGGTAACAGTGAGGTATTATGGATGCCCTGAGGGAACAAACTAATACACAACCAAAGTAGACATATGAAAGATGTGTGCATTTGTTGTCCCTCGGTGCAGGCTAAGTGAAGAGTAGCTATACTTGTATGTCCTTATCTTTGCCAGCAGCCACATGTGTTCATGCTAGTTTAGTTGCTTTAGGAACCTCCCGTGTCAGGGAAGTTCAAGTGCTAAGAATAGTTTGTTATTCCTTTTTAAAACGCACAAATGTTGTATTTATATTCAGGACTGGCTTTGCTAAATCAAATAATCTGTGGTTTATGATGTCATGTCTTAGATGGTGGATCACTCCCTACATTCCTAGAGGTGCTGCTCTCCCAGCATTCAGTGTTCACTCAGACAACACAGGCCCATCAGCACACTTCACCCCCGGCCGTCAGTCCGCACCCCACCCCTACACTCAAAAAACAAAAAATTTAAACCGAGGGGAAACACTGAAACAATTCCACATACGTATATTTCACAAAACCTTTAATCTGGCTTCTACCTCAATTTAACAGTGCTCAAATCAGTCCTTTAAAATATGCTGTAAACATTACCCGTATTTATTTCTAAATAGTGAGTATTGGTGGATTATTAGTGTGCATGTGAACATCTAGTCGCTTAGGAGTCACTCATCATTGAAAAAAGCTGAGTGTCTATACCCATAGAATTCGCTTCTTCCCTGGAGTCTCTGTGCTTTCTCTCCTTACAGGTTTCTGTGGATGGTGTTTCTCTCTGGACTTGGTCCTGCTGACATCTGCTGCTACTGAAATTATAATTAGGTGTCAAATTATTATTGCGGAGACCATTACTATCCGTGTTACCATTGTTGACCTACTATATCCACTGCTGCGTCTTTATTATTAGTCACATCACAATTGCGGACACCATTACCACTCTAATCATTTTTGTTATTAGTAGTAATAATTTTTCCACCATTATTCTCCTTACTACTCAATGTATAAATCATTTCTGTAATTTGCCTTGAAAGTATTTGTAAGAAATAGTATGTTGTACATTCTGTACACGTGACATCTACAGCATTTCTGTCCATCCCGATCTCTCTTAAACTGCCTTTTTTTTATCTGTGTTTTTAAAAATGTTTTTTCCTGTGTCGATGAGAGGGTCCCAAGACAGATGATGTTTAATGTGTTCCGACTGTAAAGACGTTTTAGAAATTAGTGATTTGTGAATTTGGGCTGTGCAATATAAAGTAAATGGAATTGACACGCTTGTGAGCTGCAGAGTGTGAGCACATGTGCTGCCGGCCTCCGCCTACAGCAAGAGTGCTCACACTTTCTCGGCCCGTGAGCCACTTTTCAATTGACCAGGTCATGGCGATCTACCCTCCTGCTTTTGGGGTTTGAGCAATAGTTACTTTTCTTTCCACGCTGCTCCACATACTATTCAATGTATTTAACTCACTTGTAGATAGGACTTTCCAAACCAGCTGGAGGCCAAGTGAAAGACCTTGTGGTTGGTCTGGTGTGAGTGAAAGGCAAAGTGTCGGTGGCTACAGTTCAGGCCGGGGGGGGGGGGGGGGGGGGGCTTGAGCTGGAGATATTAGAGTGACAAAGGACAATCAAACAGAGCTCCTGCTCCCCCCTCTGCAGAACCCAGAGCTTTAACCCTTTTCTCGTGTGAAACAGGAGGACAGACTGAGGTTTGCCATTGTTCGCTACGTGCCTTTACTTCCCCGAGACATTAAAGAAACAATTAATGTTTCACAAGTCAAATGTGACGTCATGAGAGGCGCTTCAGCCACGACACAAGCTGCTCTTTTCAGAAGCGATGGGAACACAGAGCGCTTTACAATACAGTGTGGGGCCGCCCTACTCAGCCAACAGGAAGCGAGCCAGCAAGATAATCAATAGCAGTGACGGCGCCCTACATAGCACACTCAGGAGCCAACAGATTTTGTGGTATCAAGGACCCTCCCCAGTAAACCTTAAACTCTAACAGTGCACCCAGTCTGTCCGCATTATTGAATTAAAACATCAAACTGCCACAACGAAAATTAATGAACCTACAAAAACAGTTCTTATTCCTTGCAGGTGATCTGTGGATATTGGACACAGGGTGGTCCAAACCCAACAAGGTGTGAGGTCCCAATGCTCCCATAGGGCCGAGCTTTTATGTGCCCCCGACCTGCTGATCTGTTGTCGGCCATTGTCTGAGGCGAGCGGCTGCATGCGCGTTGGTAAACCAACGGTCCTCCCCCTCTCTGTAAAGTCTACCCCAGCGTACAACCGTGATTGCAGCTCCGGAGCAGAAATGAAAGAGTGAATGGCCCGGCGCCATGCGAGGCCGCCGCGGAAAAAAGCAGCGGCTTCACGAACAGCAGCGGGAGCATTAGAGAAGTCTGTTAAATCGACAGTCCGTGAGCTCTCTGAGTAGAATTGTTAAAAGGTGGAACGGTGGATTCTGCTGGGCAGAAGCCAGTAAGAACTGAGAATCCGACGTCACAATAAATTCCAATGAAGCCGGCTTTCCACAAACTTTTTTACCGACTGCCGACTGAATACAGGGTACCTGTTGGGTTTTGCACAGCCCGGTTTTCCCTATCCGGACCTGGAAACACGCACCCTGCCCAAACCACGGCACCGTGGAACGGTTCTGTTCTCCTGTTGCACACTTGAGTTCAGCGAGGTCTTCAGAGGGGCGTGTCAATGCTAATCAACATAGAGAGATGTTAGATCGCCTGTGACTACAGCCCAAATCCAGAGCCAAAAAGTGGGAACAAACGGTCACCCTGAGCTCTCTGGAGTGGCGTGTGTCGGGAAACTCCTATCTCACGCACTTGCGGAAAATGAACGGGCCTTCCCATGCAAGTCAACCTAACCCTTTACACCATCCACCCTAAATGACCTGTGATCCACCCACATAGGAAACAGCATCCCGTGATCCACGGCCAAGTCGCCAGTGTGCACTGGATGCTGCGGGCAAAGATCTGGAACTTTCTGAGCCAACTTCTGCATCCAAGGCCACTTAAAGGACCATAGCGCATGACTGCGTTAACGTATAAAATCTAATCTCACCCGCTGCCTCCTCGTCTTCCTCCTTCAGCACATTGTTGTCGTCCACATCCTCTTCCTCGCTGTCCTTCTTGGCGCCGTTCTTCACGGGGACCACGGTGAAGCTGGTGGGCATTTTTCAAAACATGTGCTTCCCCTCAATGTCTCCTGTTTGCTACACTCTTATCTCTTTCTGCTTCCTCCTCCCTCTCCACTCTGCTGCTGCTGCTGCTCCTCCTCCCCCCTCTCTCTCTCTTTCGCTCTCCGTCCAGCTGTCAAGTTTCTTCCTCCAAGTCATTAGTTTTTTGTTTTTTTACTGGTGTACTTTACTCTTTCTGGTCTTGCTTGAACAAGTTTCTACGTTCCATCGCTGGGATTCTGCTGTACATCCATGTGACCTCGATTAAACTCCCCACCCCCATACACAGACACACTCATAGAGTCCACTCCACACTCCAAATAAGGAAGAGCACGCCCCACCCAATGGGGGCAGTACCCACAAACACATGACATGTGTTTGTGCTCATGCGTGTATGCAAGCGTGCACACATGGCTCTCTCCCTCCCCCGGAATGTCTTTCCGTCTTGCGTGCAACAAAAGCCAGCCTTTTGTTTCAAGAGAGGAAGTCCAGGGCTGCTCCCCCTGAGGAAAGCTTAAGCGTGCTTACAAATTACATTATATATACATTTTGTCACCTTCAATGCAGTGTTATTTGACCCCAATGAGCAGTCACGAGTGGACGTGGACGATTTAAAGGTGTACGCTCGCCGTCTTAACGCACGCCACTCTGGAGGGTTAGCAGACATGCCTGTAGTTCTGCATTAGACCTTACAATCAATACATATATCAACTCCCCCCGTTATCTCTTCAGAACGAGGGTGCGGCGTGGACAAAGCAGACATAAACTCACCCGACAATTCGGTCACTGGTTTAAAATGTCTCCATTTAAGAATGATGGGGGGAAGGTGATTAAAAGTGAGAAGAGGGTGTGGGGTGTCAGCCCAGTTGACCAACGCCCCTCGGTGATGGGAAGTCTAGAATGTGAACATTCTTTTAGCTTTCAGGGACTGATGTGAAATCTGTAAGTCATTACATAAGACAAACATTAAGAAATCTATTTAGCACAACACATGTGTGGAGATATTTTAGAGATGCTCAGTCTGGACCTGCTGCTGCTGCTGCTGCTGCAGGAAAGGCAGGTCAAGTTTCAGACAGACATCCTGACTCCGGTAAGTGGATGTGGTTGTAAATGTGAGAATGGCTCTATGCTGCAGGCGAATCTGGTTACCTGACTGAGCCCGACCACTAATGTGTGTTTGGTACCCCCAAGTGTGGGAAGGATTCTCGGCTGATCGCCATGGCGACGGAGCATGAAGATGCCGTGACATATACAGCGTCTCTTTATCACTTCCCAGCCCTTTACAAAACTTCCCTTCATACACTGTAAAAATAAAACAACAACCTGACGATGGCTGTAATCCAAGAGAGCGACCGCGCAGTTACCAATCTAAATAAAAAAAACTGGACTGAAACGAACACCTCCATTTGTACAACCAGAGGCGTGCGTGGTGAAAGTAGGACATTAATCAATATGATCGGATTAGTCAATACTGCCACGAAATGGTAAGAAAGACAGCTCTCATACAACACCTGCTCTGTGGATGAGAGCCAATGTACCTAGCATCTGCTGATTAAGTGTCCAGCCAGTCAGACAGCCAGCCAGGAGGACAATGTCCCTTCTGTGAGGGACATTCCACAGTGGAGACTGTAAACTAGTTAGGCTGCAAAAAGATGTGAATCAACATCTCACAGCAAGACCAGTCTGGAAGAAATAGGAACAAAGGGGATACATGACATCACTTCAGTCTTAAAATAATTAGAGCAAATGAAAGGAAATGATCATACTATCATACTAGTAGGATTGTACTATAAATCAGCTGATCATTACTGCACTTGCATGAAGCATGAAATATGGCGTAGACTTCACAACTTTCAACAGAGCAAAAAAACGGCTCACATTTCTGATCCCAAAATAGATGTATTTATTGAGGAGAGAAGCTGGAAGGAGACTGGATTTATCAAAGATAGCATGCACACAAGTTCATCCCAAGGACTGAAAAGGTTTAAGATTTTGATTGATGTGATCTCAGAGTACGTCATGATCAAAATGGAAACAGAAATAGGACCGAACCAGTTTTGTTCGCGCAAGTCTTTTAATACAACCAATTAGTGTTGCAAAGGGACGGAATGTTTATGGAAAATTTTCATGGGAAGTTAAGCTTTTGCACAAACATGTAAAAGGGAACTTAAATGTAGTTGAGAACAAGACTATGGAAGCCTAACTCTGCTGGACCCTGGATACAGCTAGTTGCAGCTACTTAGGAACATTGTCTGCCAGAAACGTAAACATAAAACAATGTGTTATTTTTGAATGTCTTTGTCATTACCAAGCATATTGATTACTTTGTAAACTGAAGCCATGTCTATTTTAATACAAAGTTTATTAGTTTACAGTGGGCTAACGTTTTACAGCAGTGAGAGTAGGATGTATGCATGTAAACACATAAGTACACTATCACCTCCAGTGTTTCCCAACCATTAATTAGGGGGGACGCCTAACCCCCTCAAGAAAGTCTTTTACATTTACAATTATGATCTTGAAAATACGAAAATTATGATTTGTGGAGGATCATAGGGAATACACTATTTTATTCAACGTTAAGGTTTTTGTTGTTAAAAAAAATAAAGTTCTAACAAATGGATTAAGTCAAAAGTTAAAAAGTTAATTAGACATATTTTGTATGAGTGTCTGCTTGTGACAAAACAAAATGTTTTGTCATACAAGACAGGCTACAGTTAAATTACCCCATAACTTCCAGTTTCATTGTAAATAAATAGATGAATCTGTAAAATCAAGGGCACATTAATATGCACACTACTCGTGCAGTCTGACACCAGCAAGGCAGCAAAGTAACTAAACCTGTGACACAATCCCACACCAGGAGCCTACGACGCCCTCTGGAGGAGGCACCAGGAAGGTCAACTGTCCGGTCACTATCGTACTGACTATACAACTTTGAAAACACAATAAATAATAATAGATTTGAAGGAAATCATGGTGGCTAACAAGCTGCACTGTCACCCCTCCATCGTGTCATGTGCGCTTGGCTCAGAGCATTTGTCACATAGCATCTTCCTTCCCTCTATCACTTCCACCAGGTTTTTAAATCTGCACTGCAGGGTTTTAGAGAAGGTACCCAGCAGAAAACACCTTCATATAGTGCACTGAATTCCACCATCAGCTGGTATGCCGCAGGTGTGGACAAAACATGATATTACTTCCTCCTCCTCACATGGGCCACCTGAGGAATGGACCTTACATAAGTTACCGTAAGTGCTGGTGGTTTTGAGTTTCCTGACTTTATGCAGCAGAAAGCTGAAGACTAATTGTGATCCTGTGTTCCAGTGCCACTGTGCTGCCAGTAGAGAGGATTAAAATAAATACAAATAAAAAGACAACCCGCTTTGAGCATTTAGAGTTGAGATTCAGTCCAGTCTGCAAGGAAACATCAAGTCTAGGATGAATCCATTAGAGTGATGATAACGAGTGAAGTCAGTGTGTGATGACTTGCAGACAAGGACAGCCACACCAGACCTTCTCAGGTAACGGCACGTTTGCCCGCCAGTAAACCATTAAGCATTTTTTGACACGTTAGTCTCAAGTGACACTCCTTTGAATGCGCTCGTGTGTCGTCATTTAGGCCGACACGTTTCTTAGAGAATGCTGATTCATGGCATTTTAGGTTGTAATGCTGACATATGCAACTTGAGTTTTCTGTTTAGGATGCAAGTGAGGTGATTTATGCCTCTTACACATCTATACTTCTGCCTGTTAGCGAACGGAGGGGCGAAGAAGGCCGTTTAAAACAATTGTTTGACGTCCAGCGCTTCCAACAGCACCACAACAGCTGCGCGTTAACACAGCTGAGGCCGTTTATAGTTCGTGCCCTTTACGCAAATACCTGTAAACCATAATCAGAGGGGGCAGGCCATCTCGATAAGCATTATCAAATGTTACAAAATTGATTCAGTGTATGAATAGGGGGGGGTTTGCACCGTTTACTCATTCAGCTTTGCCTTTACCAGTTTATGGCGGTTGACCATCCTGCTGACATTCAGGCTGCGTGTGACAGTGGGAGGGGCTAAGAAGATTATCCCATTTCATTCAGGCCTGAACATGATACTCACTAACAACGGCGTACATATTTATGACATCCGACACCCACTGTCGCCACAACCACCAACTTGAACACCCTCAGAATCTAATGCCGAAATGAAATGTAAAGTGAGCTCTCAATTCTGGCTGAAACAGAATACACTGCCTGTAAATGTATTCACCCCCATCCCCCAGAGGTTTTACCTTTTTCTTGCTTTAATACATGAAATCATGGTAAATATCAGATATTTTGCAAAAAGAGATTCTTTAATGTCAAAACGAAATCAATTCATTAAGAATATAGTGTAAAATATCATGTGCATAAATATGCCCCTACTTAGAGTGATTGACTTAATTCAACAGATATCCAGCTAAAGATGCAATCAGTGTTACAAAAATGAATTTCAGGTCACCAGTGCAGCGGATGCGTATCAAGTGATTGTAGTAGTAATAGAAGTCCAAAAACACCTGTAGGCCCAGTCTCCGGTTCATCAGTATTCATACTAAAATTGAAACATGAAGACTAAAGAAAACTCTCTGAAAGTAACTCAGAGAAAAGATAACAAAGCTTTTGAAGAGAAAAGAAGATGATGCCTTCGAAAAGAGTCTTTGTTTGTGGACTTCAACTCTGCGTTCAACACCATCAGCCCAGGGTTACTTGAACGCAAACTCCCCCAGCTCATTGTGCCAGCTTCCACCTATCACCTACTTCCTGAAGGGCACGTGAACTTCCTGAAGTGGATGCTTTTAAGCGGCAGGCCCTGAGAGGCTTGCGCAGGTAGAAGGAAACATGAATGCAGAAAAATATCACTAAATCTTGGAGGACAATCTGATAAAGTCGTAGTTCTCTTGCAGGCTGTATTTTCCAGCAAGACACAAGGCCAAATATCAAGCAAAAGCTTACCAGAAATGGTTCAAAGACAAGAGGATGGTTCTCGAGTGGCAAGTCAAAGGCCATATCTCAATCCAATTGAGAATATGTGGTGGAACCTGACACAGTTTGAGCCGTTTTACATGGAAGAATTGAGTACAATTGCTGCTACAATTTTCGCTGATTGACACACAACACACAACCCAAGAGTGCATCAACTAAATACAGACAAGTGGGTGAATATTTATGCAACATTAACTCCTTATGTATTTTTAAACTAATTTACATTATTGTATAAATATATATTTTCTTTATTCTTTGTTCTTT